TCACTGCACACAGCTGCCTCCTACTCACTAAACACACTGTGACAGTTTCACTGCTTGTAAACTCCTATGCAATGCTCTAGATTATCAAAACTACTTACAACAAATCTACAACAAACATAAAGTTTTCATCAATCTACACAGAAAAACAACTTTTATTTCAAATATAGGAGCCTTATCCACTGTGACTGTGAGACCAGATTCAGCATGTGAGCTGAGACTCAGAAGAAAGTATGAGGCTGGTGACAGCTCACATGCTGAATCTCCTCAGAAAGTTTGAAAAAAGGCAGTGATCACAAACGGCTCACCCCACACTCCCTCTTTGGTAAACCCCAAAAATAAATAAAAATTGTTGAGTAAATTTTTTGACCATTTTCTGAGTGACTAACACAAGCAGTGCTCAGTGTTAAAAGAGCAAAATGTTTAAAATTAAGAACAAAATACACCAAAGATGTCCAAAAAAGATCAATACATTTTTTACCTTTTTTTTTTATTTTTTTTTTACAATTGTTAGTTTGTCATGTGTGATCACAAACAATGATCATGCATGATGTGATAAATAAAATCATGATTTAAAAAATGCTTGCAACAATAATTAAGAAAATAATTTAATAACTTTTGCACTCAAATTTGAGAAAATTGTTTAATGTGCTCCTTCCTAATAACACCATAATTTAATTCTTAAAATGTTTTTTCTTACTTTTTAGATGTATCTGTGTAGCAGGCCTTCTCTCTCCATTTCCAAGTGACTGGAAACTGTCTGTCCCCATAGAAAGACTAGGGAATGAATGAGCTTCCCCTTATTAACATTCAATGCTTCCAGATCTTTAACCATTTGTTAGGACAGAGTGTTCAAATCTAGCTCACAACTGATAATGAGATCTGCCAGCACAGTACAGACAGGGTTTATTGTTAATTACATTAACCTGTCCAGTTCTCCTTGCATTTCAGGACAAAACATAGTACAGAGAACAAATTTTCTTTCACAATAGAGCATCTATTTTGCAAGCAAGCAGCAATTTGAAAAAAGAATGCAAATTATTCTATGTGAATGAGAAACATGTAACAACTATAAAATGTGTTATTCCAATTTGGCTGCAAAAGTGGAAATACATTTGAAGATATTTTAGACAATCGGAGTAAAAAAAATATATATATACAGTATATATTAGCGCAGCTCTTGTACTTTAATAGTGGACACATGCTTGTGTTACTGACACTAAATAGTTTAAATTGCTTCTTGAAAAATGTAAAGATTGTGTGCACAATTTTTCCCTGATCTTTTTGGTATTTTTTTATTGTTATATGTTAAAAAAACTCCTGTGGTAAACCTCAAATAACAACAACATACACAAAACTATTTATTTACATGACAGTTACAAACATAACACATGATTAACAGGTCAAGCAAGAACATGTTGATCATGTGACTATAGTTATCATTCTAAAGGGAAAGTTTTGCCTTCTCTATTGACTAGGGATGCACCGATACTGGTTTTCGGTATCAAGTACTGATAATTTTTTTCTTCGGTACCTGCTGATACCGAATACCGATACCAGAAGTCCCATTAAGAAAGCCAGGTAGCATGTAATGACACGCCGTCCCGCTAGCCATTCCTGGTTAGCCGGGAAGCTGTCTCCATGCTCTATCACCAGACGATGACCAATCAGGAAGCTGGGTGGCGAGTCATTACACGGTGCCCGGCTTCCTGATTGGACGGGAAGTTGGCTCCATGCTCCCTCATCATTAGATGACGAGGAAGCATGCAGCCGGCTTTCTGGCCAATCAGGAACCCAATGGGCGGGTAATGAATCGCCGCCCGGCTTTCTGATTGGCCAGCTTTCCGACCAATAAGGAAGATGGGCAGCGAGTCATTACACGCCCCCCCGGCTTCCTGATTGGCCAGGAAGCCAGCTCCTTGCTTCCTGGAGACGAGGGAGCACGCATCCGGATTCCCGGCTAATCTCCAAAAGAGGAAGGACATAAAACATTTTGTTCACTACATCCATCAGTTGTGTTCTCTTGTATTCGAGTGTCAAGTCTCATCTAATCCAATTTAGGAAATTTGTGAGTGAATCCATGTCTTTTATGTACAGTCTGTGCTCCAACATCTAACTTTTTTCTATAGTTCAATTTTAAGTGTGCACAGTTTCCTCTTTTTGCATTGAGTGGTGTTTTGTGTATATACCATTTATAAAACTTTTTGTCGACCTTACTGCTTTACAGCAGTCCGGAAGCATTGTTGAGCAACATGGTTTAACCACTTCAAGACCAGGTGTTTAGACCCCCTTCCTGGCCAGGCCATTTTTCAGTATTCAGCTCTGCGGTACTTTGACTGACGTTTATTCCGTCATGCAACGCTGTACTGAAATGAATTTTATACCATTTTTTGGGGACACATAGAGCTTTCTTTTGGTGGTATTTAATCACCACTATGGGTTTTATTTTTTACTATAATTAGGAAAAATTACTGAAAATTTTGAAAAAAAAAGTTTGTTTTTACATTGTTAGGAAACATTTATTATTACCCAGTTTTTTGGTAAAATATAAAAGTCGGGGTCATGTCGGGTAAATAGACACCAAACATGTCAAGCTTTAAAATTGCGCGCACCCGTGACATCGCAGAAAACTACCATACCCAAAATTGGCCATAGGCGACACTTTAAAAGCTTTTACCGCTCATCAGTTTAGTGTTATCAGTGATTGATGGCCCTAGAATTATTGCTCTCACTCCAACGTTCGCGGCGATATGTAACATGTGCGGAGTAATGGGCGCAATCGTCTTTTTTGCACGTATGCGCCCCCGACGCATGTTTGCGTGCATGTATGGGTGGGGACTTTAACCAAAAAATCATTTTTTTATGTGTAACTTAAAAAATTTTGGTGGGGACTTTAATTTTTTTTTCCTTTTTTTTTCTTTCACTAAACATTATTGCTATCACATACGGGTTCTAATAAAACCCCCCTATGTGATAGCAAAATATGTGACAGGTTCTCTTTATGGAGACAGCAGGGGTCTCCAAGACCCCTAATGTCAACTAGGACCCCCCAAAAGAAGTTGATGAAGCACAGATCTGCTCCATCAGCTTCTTTGCAGCTTCTGAAGCTGGAGAGTGACACAAGAATGCGGAAGTGATGTAATATACAACACTTCCGCATTCTTTCAGTAGGGGGGGGGCGCGCACTGATCGTTGCAACATACAAGCGATCCGCCGGCTCAACAGCCGGCGGATCGCTTGTATGTTAACAGGCATCGCTGCCTGTTTTAAAATTTCGGCCAATTCCCATAGTTCTCTTTAGGGTCACAGGAGGACATAAGTTAACGTTATGCCTGCTATATATTGACAGAGCAGAGCCGCACTGCAGCTGGGACGGCCAGCTGTGCCTGCCCCTCCCCCGTCTGTTCCTCCGGTCAGTGCTGGAGGAACGGAGAGGGGAGGGGGGGCTGTCTTTCACCGCTCTCTGCAGGGAGATTATCGGGAACTGAGCAATCAGCAGTATGTTATCGCTCATTTCCCAATCAATAGAGCTTCAGTGTCACACTTCGGCTCTAATTATGGGGATTTTGATGAGTGTAATTAACTCTTCTTTAATTCTTCCCATAATTCTTCTTTAAGGCATACATGAAGGTGTGGAAAGTCATTGTGAATTTTTAACATATCCCTAGTAAGAGGACAGGTGATTGTAATTTTAGACGGTAGTTTCTGACAGGAACTAAAGTTCCTCCTATTGTGGAGATTGTTTTGTATAGTAAATTAACCTCTATCCCCAAATACACACACACAAACAAAAAATCTGGGAATGACAGGTTTAGATTTTGCAACCACATGCAGGTGAAACTTAGCATTTTGACCCAAACCACACAAATGTAAATATAAAGGTTCATACATTTAACATACTGTATATAAAACATTAGCTGTTGGCATTATTGCAGCATATAAGGGAGTACAGTGTTACATGGATGAATAAAGGCGTAACAAGCAAAAGCAGTTTTGGGTTGTATAGTGGAGGGTTAGAACCTCTGTAAAATTTTAATTGCTGCCCATGACCCTGTTACAAGGATTTCACCTCAAATCATAGTCCTTTTGACAGTCTGTGACAATAATACAAGAGGTGAATAATACAAGAATGTGTCCAGTGGGGTCACCAACAGGGATTCTATTTCTTCCCCCACTCGCTCCAAAACTAACAGGGTTATTCACAAAAGCAAAAAAACAGCGGCACCAGCACCCACGACTTGTATGCATGCAGACTAGTAACACTAGTGATGCAGCTCCCACTGGTCAGGGCAACCGACAAACTGGAAAACATAAAGCAAAAAGGAGCGCCTCCATAGTGTAAAACAGTATTTAATAATAAGAAGGCACACAGCTGGGGCTGTACTTACAAACAACTGTAGAACACAGGCATGTAACAAGGATGGGTAAACGAAATCACGAACAAAGACGAGCTAGAGTATTGATGTTAAACCAGAGTTTTCTGCCCCCAAGTATTCCACGGGTTTACATGTCTCAGAGGCAACGCCCAATTCATCAGAACCTGTGTTATACAGTTGTTTGTAAGTACAGCCCTAGCTGTGTGCCTTCTTTTTATTAAATACTGTTTACACTATGGAGGTGCTTCTTTTTGCTTTCTATTATTCACAAAAGGTTGAAGAGTTTGGAGAAGGCAGGATAAGTGAACAACCTAGGCCAACATAGCTGAAACTGGAAAGAGCTGAATTGGCCCAGATTGTTCACTTCTTCTGCCTTCTACAAACTCTTAACCCTTTTGTGAATAACCTGCAAAAAAATGTTTTGGGCTTTGAGTATTTCACTTTTCTGGATCATGTTGTGTGCAATACTGATGTCTTGTCTTTCCATATGTATATTCAATATCCACTTTATGCATGTTTTAATTTTCAAGGAGAGCTACAGCAGGAAATTGATTATTGTGATACTTTATATTACCAACATGAACAGGGACGTTATGCCATCACAGGAGTTCTGCTCGTGTCTTTCTTTTATACAGTGAAGGATGAACCGCCTTCACTTGGAAACACCTCACTTGTCCTTCTTGATGTATATGTATCAGAGCATACCCTGGAGCCACGTGTTCTAGACAGGGCAAACTTGTGCATAAAACACATATTTTGCATTACTTTCACAAAATAATTTCGGAACTTTACACCAATGAAGGCATAAATGACCGGATTTAGACAACAGTGAAAAAAGGCCAGCAATTTTGTGAAATTGAGTGCATACTCAATGTTTTTTCTTTCAGTGCATTCCTCATTGTGCCCAACTAAATTAATAGCTTTTACCAAAAGTGCCAGATTGTATGGGACCTGGCACAGTAGAAACACGATGACTACAGTGACAATTACTTGGATTGCCTTGTGTCTTTGGGAATTTTTTGCCTTCAGCAGTGTTTTAATTATACATGCATAGCAAAATAGCATAACAATAAAAGGAATAAAAAATCCTACACAAATTTCCACAGCTATAATTGCAAATTTCCACTTGGATGCAGATAAATGTTCTGGGAACCGTGCTTCACAAACCATTACTGGGCTGTTTTCAGGTTTGTAAGACTCACTAAATATATATGTTATGCTGGAGAGGCAGGCTGCTACAATCCAAACTGTCAAGCAGAGCACTCCTTTATGACTCAGTGCTATGTTTCTGAGTCGAAATGATTTTGTAACCTGCACAATAGCTACATATCGGTCAATACCCACGCAAGCCAATAACAACATACTGCAGCTGAAATTAATTGCGTAGATGCTTCTTAATAATTTGCACATGAAACCCTGAAAAATCCATTCATCCTTCTGATAATACACAGCCCAGAATGGAAGAGTAAATATAAACAGCATGTCTGCTATTGCCATGTTTAAAAGAAAGATGTCTGTCATAGTTTTACTTCTCTTGTAGCAGCTAAAGGTCACAACAACTAGTATGTTACCTACAAACCCAAAAATGAATATGATGGACAAGGCAATAGGTCCACATATTTTTAACAATTCTTTGACACTGCTCATTTCACAAATAAAGCTGCTTGAATCGCCATCAAAGTAACTGTAATCTGTTGTTGTAATATGTTCTGTCATTTTTCTCAGGGTATGTTTACTGCACCTGCAAAAGAAGACAATTTATTCAACATGTCTACATATATTTTATTGCTTTGAAAACATGTCTTGTTCTGTCTCCAATGTGAAGGTAAAGTAGCACCTAAATATTCTAGTACTGGTGAAATAAATGTACACGCATGATTTTGTTTTCTTGCATTTACATTTGGATGCACCATTTGGAAAAATAAAGTTTAATAGTTTGGGAGATGGAATTTCCAGATACAAATAACCTAATTTAATGTAATCATATTTTATATTTGTTAATCTTTTAAATCCTGACAATTTCTCCTTTATGCAGCCTGATGACAAGAGCAAAGTGCACATTTTCAAGAGATGCCTTTACTTACCATGTTTAAAAGGAAAACCAAAATACTTTTTACTTTCAGCATGATTTCACCTCATTGCAAGTTTTAAAAAGTTCCAGTACATCCTACATAGGAAGAGTTGGCATATGGTTTAAATAAGCATAATAACTGATCAAGTCTATCCAACCTAAAGTTCCCAGATAATTTTCTGGACCTTGTTTCCTTCTCCACCAAAGCATGTTCAGCACTTACAGGGCTGCTGTCGCAGTCTTTCTGAAAACCAGTGTAAATTATTTCTTCCCAAGGATTGACAGAGACTGTAAAGTCAGTCAAATTTGTTCAAAAGATATAACTACGCTAGTAATTTAAAGGCTTAAAGTAGCCACAACTTCAATACAAATTAGTAAACTAAATGTGATATTGTAGGTCCATCAGAGGAGTGAACTTGGAGCAGTGGCTACTTTACAACACACACAGGGACCATGGGAAACAAGTAGCCACCCTCCAGAAAGAAGGAAAGACAGTGTCATCATACATTCAGAGATGATTTGAGGACCTACAGCTGAGTGATGCACAAATAAGGTATAGTTTGTTAATAGTTGAGGTACTTAAACGCTTTTTTAAGATTTCACTCCTGAGTTTAATGTCAAGCTATATTATACCTTGTACATTCAAGATCTTGAAACATTTGCCATTGCTCTCTCCCTCATACCAGGAATACAGAATACCAGTTTTACAGAAATCCAATTAGTGCCAATTGCAATATTTTAAAGCCAAACTGCCTTTCCCTGAAGTTTTCAGACATACAAAAAATATGGAATACATTACAACACCTTCCACCTGTATTCTAGCCCTCACATATGCTCCTATGTGAGGGCTAGAGCAACTAAAGTAACACATTCAATTTTCAACTATCATCAGAAAGGACATACATTAATTTTCCTAACTCAGGTGGAAGGAAAGAGCATGTTGGCTAAAGATAATCAGATGATAATCTGCCCCTAAACACAGCATGACATTGTATAGGTACCTACAACTGCAAAGTCTCTAACTTTGCTGAGGACCTTCCTGTTGCAGCTTGCCAGTCTTTAGGCCCAGGACTTAGTCTTTCAAAGGACAATACTATTACCATTCCTGGGGCCTTAAGGAAGCCTCACCAAGCATTGCTTTCTAAATTCTAGGGCACTGTGGCTGTGAGGAACATAGCTCCTTGCCAGTGACATACCTTTCCACAGTCTCTACCAGCTGATCTACATTCTGGGGATCTGCATGGTTGATCTAATTTTGCCTTGTATCAGGCATGAATCCCAAGTACTGGTTCATGTCATCTTTGTCCATGATCTATGGTCCTGAGAGTCTTGTGCTGCAGTAAGTTTTGAACTAAATAGACAAAGTCATACATCTAAGAACATGAAGGCTTGTCAACTTGATATGCCCAACAGATAATGTGCTGGGCTTGGACTGAGAGGTTGACCCTCAAAACGGCCAGTATGCTAGCTTTGAATTTGTTATAATTCTGAGCATCAAAGTGGCCTATGTAACAATTTTCTGTTCTTGCCTCGGGAGCAAAAGGAGCTAGCTACGACTCAGTGCATACCACCATGCAAATGCTTTCTACTTTCACAGTGCTCATATACAGCCAGTGGACTTAAAGGTGAGCAGTCTGTGACATGCTTTTTGCGACATGCAAGCAGTTGCTGAGAGGCTTTTGAAACATACAAACAGTGTCTGCCAAACTCTCATAACATGTAAACCGTAACAGTGAATTGCAAGTCAAAAATGCTTTATAAATGTGACCCTGGGTTATGTCAAAGTAAGGCCTTTTGCATCTTCCAACATGAAATATTTGTCCCCAAAGGTTCAGTTGAATGATTGCAACCTGTTAACCATCAGAACAGCTCACGGGGTGCCACATAGTGTTAGGAATGGTTACCAGAACTTCACTACCATTTAGCCCTCACAGCTTCTTCACAGTGGCACTGGTTCATAGGTTGATGGCACACTTGCTGTAGTATGCAGTTATTACCACCTTATGGTGCACTTCAGCTCTCTCTGTTCAAATCTTAGGGGTATCCAGTACCCTTTTCAAGTTCCAGTTACAATTGCATTCAAGTCTCAAATCCAGCTACACATCCCTGATTTCAGTTTGGCTTCTTTTTAGTATTTGCATATGAGACCTTACCCTGCTAAGCAGTTCATGACTAGGAATATGCTTAGGGTTCAGGTTGATCATGAGTTTTACCCAAATCCAAATGATTTGCAGTTCAAGAAAATGACAAACGAATGCAGCTTTTTTGCACCCATAGCAATCAATCACCAAAAATGCACGTCCTGACCTTTGAAGTGTAGACAGATGGCTTAGAAGGGCTAATCATAGGGGTTTCTTATGTGACAGCCTCCTTCCTACAAAAGTCTGGATTCTTAGCAGCCTTTCTGCAGGGTGTGTTGTTGCAGACATGAGGTAGTTAGTGAAAAATAACAAACTACAGGAAAAGCCAGCTACTAATGCTGAAAATGTCTATACTTACACTGAGTCACAGACAAAGAGTGTGTTGTACAGTCCTGAAACAGATTAGCGAGAGATTACATGGTGTTTCCAATGTTTCCATTTCCATGATAACAACAACTCTGCTGCTGATGACTACTTGGGTCTGGGAGCAGAGTTGTCGTTATTATTAATGGCAACAACAAGACCTACAAGTAACAAGAAGTAATACCTACAAGACCTAAGTTACTGCAGAGGACACAATGATGGAAATTGGACAGCAGCAAAGTTTTAATTAGGGATAATACGCCTAACTGGTGTATTCCTAACTTTTATTTTATCTATGGGGATAGGGGGTTGCAGTGTATGTGAGTAATATAATGTGAAGTGGTTTAGGTGAACACAGGTCTTGTAATTAGTTTGTTGTTCTTTCAAATAATGCAACAGTGTACTGTGCTTTGAGAATCCCAACTTAACCCCTTCACGACTGGAGACGTACACTGTACGTCTCCATTGTGAAGTGCCCAAATGACTGCTCACAAACATGGTACGTGAGCAGCTATTCAGGGCTTTGAAATGCAGGTAAACGCTGAGAATCAGAGGTTACCATCCATTAATTAAATAGTTAAGCTTTTGTAAAAGCTTCTTTCTTTCATCAATGAAAGAAAGAAGCTGTTACAAATACCTGCGATCCAGCAGGTGAAATAGCAGAAGCAGAACATGACTCACTGCTTTTGCTATTTCACTTTTGGCAGTTCTATAGACATCGGGCAAGTCCTGATATTTATAGGCTTTTGTTACATTCTTCAGCCAGCAATAAGAAATAATATATTTATTTTGCTGAAATGTATCAAACGTCTGATTATTTGAGGACGATCAGAAGCCTAGTGAGATCTAATCCTGTCATGCTGTCAGGATTAGATGGCTGTTCCTAAATTTGGAGCAGCCTAATAATAACCAAAAATTAAAAATAAATAAATTAGCAGGCAGTCGCAGTGACTGCTTTATATAATAGTTTAAAAAAATAATAATGTAAAAATATATATAAATATATTTTTATACAATAGTTATTATAAAACATTTACCCCTTACAATGAAAATCTGCAGCTGAGCTGCAGATTTGTTTTTCACCCAAAGGGGTTAATTTTTTAAAAGTAACCCCCTCATGACGGCCTTGTTCAAAGTATGTCACTGTCCCTAAGTGTGACAGTTAGTGACACTTAATGACAGTGACATTGTAGGCCACCTAAGCAAGCCATTATTAGTTTTTAGAGAAAAAAAATAAAATATTAGCTTTTAGTTTTAGCCTGAAAAGTACAGAAACATTTCTGAAATCATAGAGATATGAGGTTTTTCCAAATAAAGGATAAATACATTAATTTATGTTAATGCATTTTTTTTGTGCGATTATAATAGCTATAATAGCTCTGCTATTTAAAAGAATAATAATAATCAAAACTGGGGAAAAAGTGTTTTTTCCTCTTTTTTTATATGTTATTCATACTAAGCGAGGCGTTAGGCACACATATGCAATATAAATATATAGCCATCTCTGTCCTCTAAAAAACAATATATAATATGTGTGGGTGCACTTAGTGAGAAAGTATATTACTGACGTGGAGGAATCACACAGCAAAAATGTAAAAAGTGCTTTAGTCATTTACGAACAGAAACTGAAAAAAAGCTCAGTCATGAAGGGGTTAAAAGAGGTCCAAAATGTAATAAGAAGTAAATAAATAAATAAAACAGCAAAATACCACCCTAAAACAAAGCCTTGCAGTAAAAGAAAAGAAAATGTTTTCTATGAATGGGACAGCAGCTAAAAGTAAGCGCTGACTAAAGAAAATTTAAAAAAATGAAAAAGTCAGCAAAAGGGTTAATTGGCCAAAGAGCTAGCAATGAGAAATGCAGTACAGTATTCTAACTGACCCTTATCTCACTCTATGCAGTTTGGCAGCTTTCCACATAGGTGTTTCCTACAACAGCTTTCAATTCACTGCCACTATGGCTGCTCCTTCCTTTTAAAGTGAAGGGGCTGGTTTAACCAAAAGCCCCCCTCTTTGGCTCTTCTTAACCTGCTAGCCATAATTCAAAGGCAATACAGCACAGTATGGTTTTAAAAGCCTCCCAGGTGAATCTGCACAATAATTTGCTGTGAGCATGAATCTAAAACCCATGGTAGTGGCTAT